TGAAAAAAATTCTGCGCTTTTATTTTTTACGGGGTAAGGTGGGATACCGTTTGTCCCACCATGCAACTAGCACATGTCTTATAGCATATTGGTGTATAGCAGGAAAAAAAAAAATCAATATTGGAATGAATAAACAAAATAAAGCGTGCATTCTAAAAATATTCATAATAAACACACACTAAAATGCAGTTTGTACTTATTGCATATATGCATGACTTGTAACTTGTAAATTTTGCATATATATATTTAATATTTTTAAATTTTTAGGAACAAAAGAAAATATTTTCTTGAATATTATTTTAAGATTAAAATTTGATACTCGTACATATGTACTAAATAAAATTTAAAATTGGCACTTGATTCAAAATATTTATATACGATTAAAATTGAAAAAAAAGTCATTTTTCATGAAACTTTGAAAAACATGTTGTTTCATTCTTTTGTAAGCATAGAGGCATTTCACATGTTCCACACATCCAAAATGTTCGTCGTTCTTCTTTCGACGTGCTGCAATATGCACATCTTCTTCTGCTAGTTCTCTTTGGAGTGTGACTTACATTTTTTAGTCCCTTTTTCTGGTTGTACGAACAGGTTTTTAGTTTTTATTTGAACTGGGGATTTCAGTTTTCTTTTCAGCTCTTTCTTGCCTGCAAGTGCCATTAGACTTTCTATAACTGAGAGAAGAAAATCTTTCATTGTTTCTACATCATGATCGGGTTCGCGAACAAACTTAAATAGAATAAATGCATTTACTATACTCGCATCTAAAAAGTAAAAAAAAAATACATGTGCCACCATTTCTTGCTTTTGCGGTTTATTTCATATAGTCCTTTCAGTTGATCAATCAGTCGACATATCCCATATTCTTATTGTATGAAATAATGCTGTTTGGGCACAGTACTTTTTTTTGTCTTTCCATCTCGTTCTTTTCTATTAATTTCTTTCATTTCAGTTGCCTTTTCCAAGCAAGACAGGATAGAAACGGATCTTTTATCCTTCCATTTTATGCAATAAATTGAATCATCGCTAACTGAAAAGTCTATATATTCTCTTGACATAAATTTGTCTTTTAAATTTTTGGGTAGATACTTCCGATTCATATTTACAGTGCCACATGCATAGATGGGTCTGTGTCTTTAAATAGCGAAACAAATTATTACTTCCCTTTCTTCTTCAGCAATAACTTCAACCTCAGTTATTCTCTCTTGGATTTCAATTTCACCTGAATCAGAACTGACATCTGAAGCATTTGAGTAGCAATCGGATGGCAATTCAGCAAAAAGATCCAAGCTTCCTGAGTTGTTAATTTTTTCTAGACATTTTAGCACATCAGAGCATACAACGGATGTAAAAGCGCGCGCAATCACGAAAAAAGTAGATGCAAAAAAGAAAAGAAAAAATAATCGTGAGTGCTGCCATCTATTGAGCGGAAATTCAAGTGTGTGGTGGGACAATTTTAACCCACTTATTTCAACAACTGCAAAATTAATGTTATAAAATATTGAATCCAATTAAGATTTTTGAAAATAAAATACCTTTGAATATTAAAAAGAATCATACATATCATAAATTGTATACCAAAATTTTTAAAATATTGAAAAATGCGAGATACATGGATATCACTCTTGTGATCCTATTTTGAATATTTTTTGCTTATAAAACTTAAGCCCTGGTATAGTAGTAACATCTACTGAGAAAAATAATAACTAAAATAGATTATTTTTAAAAGATTAGAAAATTTCTAACAGAAATTGCTAACTGAGAAAATAAATATTAATTAGGTGGGACATATATTGACCCACCATGCCGCAAAGGGTTAATATTTCAGATGTATCACATAAGATTGGAAAAATGTTGATGTTTTGGAAATGTGCTCGCGATAGGCCAAAGGTTGAGCACCACTGCCCTACATCCCCTGTGTTTTATGGCTACCTTAAACCACTGGACTGTATTTTTTGAAGAAATAGCTGCAGATGGAATCCAAATCTGTTCTGTAACAGGACAATGGTATTGTTGTATGCTGAGGGATTTTTGTAATACCACAATTTCAACAGTATGGACAGTATCATTTTCATGCAGGATGGCAGACCTCTTTACATTAATTGCCGTGTAAAGCAATTGCTAGGACAGCATTTCACAGATGGAACAGCCTGTGTTTTCCGGCAGCATGGCCTCTTCGTTCACCCGATATCACCTGCTACTTTTGGTTGTGAGGTTTCCTGAAAGACTATATCAGTCATGAAAGGCCAGCATTTGGTACTGTAGGACATCCAGTTCTTTGTCATTTCATGATCATTTTCAAATAAATCTATAATTTTTCCTTTTTCCATACCTGAAAAATTCTTTGCTTTCTCAATTTTTACAATTTTCCTAGGTTCAATTTTAATCGATGAAAAATCCTTTAAAATTGTGTACAATTTCCAGGCAATGTTGATGAATCCAACATTGCTATGCGAGTTTAATCATTTCTGTGCAGTGTATTATGTTGAATTGTTTCCAAAATGCCATTAGTGTGTCATACTTTCCTTCATCTAGTTCTTTATTTGCAGAGATGTTAACATGCCTAACATAGTAGGCTTTGAATGTTTTTATAATTTTTTGATTCATTGGTTAAGCAACTTACCAGGTATTAAGTTCTAAATTCTAATTTATGTTGATTTACAATTAACAAAATGTGGATTATTTTATAAATAATTAATTCAAATTTCATGAATCTGTAAAAGAAAATTTGGGTTTTATATTGCCAACATCAATTTTTATGAAAGACTTTCAAGCTAAGGAGTGCAAAATATTTAAGTAAAGATTTTACAGAACTGTGAACTTTTCCAGTACTAGGACATTCCTTACAGTGCTTTTACAGTTGAAGACTTTTAAATTTCAAAAGGATTTTCAATATAAATTTATTGTTGAAAATGATATCTGCAGGATTTTTTATTAAAAAAATTACTTATATCAAATTTTATGATTTTTTTCCACTATTGTATTTCCCTTATTTCGCTAATTCTGTAATGTTCTTTTAAAAAGGCTTTTCTGTCTTCAAACCTTTTTCTCTTTAAGAGGGGGGTGTAAGATAAAATATGTAAATCAAAATCAAAATTATAATTTAAACTAACAGTAAACTCTAATTCTTCCCCTCTGTTCTAAAAATCGCAATAACTTCTCTCAATTGCGTCATTTCTAGGTCCTTCCATTTTGTATGGCCTGCATAGTGCTGATGATATAATAATTGGGAGTTGAAACTTTAAACTCAAACCAAATCCTTTCTCTTTGTGTTCTTCCATCTTGCATAACTACACACTTCAGCTTTTGCCTCTGTTCTGCTTTGACGCTGTTTCATTCTGCTCTGTACCTATTGCAACAATATCAAAAATATAAATGTCCATGAATAGGCACAACTAGAGTGCCAAGTGAACTGTGCCTGCAAACGACAACTGGAAAATAAAAATGGAATTAAAACCACCTCGACTGGCAAGTTTCTTAGATATTGCCAAGTCAACATTAGCATACTACATAATCAAGAGTACTTCCTTTTCAATATGGATCTATGTACGCACCAACAGTGTTTCAGCTTTTCCTTGCTTTTATTATATCGGAAGAACCGTCAAAAGATTTAATACAGTCGTATAAATCATGGAAAGTTATACTGAATTGTTCATTTACCATGGATGACATACCAGGTGTATTATTTCTTCGATGTTTATGTAAACAAATACCTTGGAAATAGTAGTTGCTAAAATTAGTTAAAGCATTCACAATTGTAGTATAACATTCATTAGTGAAAATGGTGCATTCTAAATTCACAACATTAAGAATCGAAATTATATCTGCCAGAGTGAAAATATTTAATAAACGTTCCTTAACTTCGGCAGTGGGAAAAGAGCTATTTAGTCCTGTGAATTCACGAAGCCGTTTGCGATTTGCACGGTCGCCTTCTTGACCAAACACAAATTTATAAAGTAACTTAACTGCTTTCGTAGAAGCTGATTTTAAAGATTTAGCTATATGTGGTATATCATTTAGAGTTGACATTGTCACAATTTAACTATTTCGAAGAACACAAATGTGAATAAATTAATACAGTAAAAATGAAAATTCAGTTTCGAATTCAAAACAAAAGTTCTGGTTTCAACACAATAAGTTCTGGTGCCAAAAATATAGTTTCACTTCATTAAAATTGAATTCAAAAGATTCTTTAATTGGGATTTGATTCATTTAATTGATTCTTAAAGAACAGCTTACCTTCATTCGGTGGAAGGAATAAAACTTCTACATTTGGATGCAAAGTTGTGAGGGCTTCAGTAATGTGTCTTGGAGTATTATTGAGAATTAGGAAGTTTTAAAGCTTAGGTTTCACTATTCTATTCTAAGTAATATCTGATTTCTTCAACGAAGTTCGAACGAAAAAATTCCTGCAATGTACAAATTAAAATGAAGACAAGATGATGTGTACGAAAAAAAAAATCATATTCGGCAAGGGTCTGCTGTACAGTTATAAAATGTTGGAAAAAGATGGAAGGATTAACATCATTAAAGGTAAATTTTTGTAAAGATCAAAGGCTACATCCAGCAGAAGAAACTTTAATAATTTTTCTTCAGTTAATTCACTGGATTGTCTTGCAAGTTTTTCACATTTTTTAGTTAGATAATTATTTTACAGCAGATAAAGTATAAAATAAATTTTGAACAATCAAAGTTAACTATGCGACATTTCATTTTCCAAAAAACTTTTTTTTATTAAATATATTTTTGATGAAATTGTTTTACAAAATAACAATGATAACTTCCAAAAATATAGCTATTCATAAATAAATGAACAGCAATATGAACTACAAACAAAACATTTTCATACTATTAGTTTCCATGACTTGTAAAAGAAAGAAAGGATCTTACCATATCTTATTTTAAATTTTGTACACCTGATCTTTAATATAAAGATCCATTATTAATATCAAATTAACTGAAATTATTAGTCAGAAAATGTATACAGTATACAACAAGATTGTGATTAATTTCCTTTTAACTTGATTTAGATTTAATATGAATTTAAGCCTTGCGTTAAACTAAAATATATATGCATTGAAACAAGAGCAATGGAAACTGCACTAACAGCTTTTACAGCAAGAATAGTCCATGCACCCAAACCAAGTACTGACATAAGTAACCTGAAAAAGAAAAATTCTGTCAACAAAATATTTTTTAACATTTAGAAAATGATTTAGTTTAATGCACATGTTTATACATACTCTATTATTAAAGGTCTATAGCATCCAACAGCCAACAGGACCATTACTATGGGTAAATGAGTCTTTCTAAGATCATGCCGACTCCAAAGCCAAACTAAAGTTGCTGTTGTAATATGATGGACCTATTTAAAAAATAACAGGCAATATGTATTCCATATTCTTTATATATTTAATTAAGGATATTTATATATATATTTACAGAGCATGCAGAAATACAATGCACATAAATTATAAAGCCTGATGGAAGAATCCACTGTCAAGTTAGTGTAAGCACTACAGCTTTAATAACGTACAAGTGAAATTAATGGCACTAAATGACACTGTATATTGCTTAACTAGAGAACACGAAATATTTAATACTCTTAATTAACATGGTTTTACCACAATTCTTTTACTTAGTAAAAAAAATTATTATGCATTATATTTCGTTGCAGAATACATTTTGTCTATTTGTACTTGTGTAGCAATTGATGTGCTATAATAGTTAGCAACAGGAATCCAGTAATTGTCAATACGTGAAAACACTTTCAGTCTACGAGTCACTTGCCGCATATAACCTTCCAGGTTTCGTGCCACAAAAAATCCAACACTACTACTACCATAACAAATCACTGGTCATTTGAAGTAGCAGCTGATTTTATCATAATCATTACTCACTCTTTTATCTGTTAAACAGGGTTCGTACACATTTCTGCACAAGGAAATTAAGGATAATTAATGAAAAAAATTAAGGACCTATGAGCAAATGGGAACTGAATAAATTCAATTAAAATATTATATCTATGCCTGAAGCGAGTAGGATGCATTATTATTAAGCATAACTTAATTAACATATTATTAATATTTTGAGAATAAAATTAATTTTATGAAATTTATCAAGTAGCATTAAATATTTTACACTCATAATAACTGGACATATCTGAAAGAAGGTAAGTGACATTTTAGTTACATTTTACTAACAGTTAGCTTTTTTTTTTAATGTCTCATTTTGTCACATACTTGATCAGTCTAGAGGTTTAGTAAATAGTAAGTAGATTTATGTCAAGCAGCATAGGTTAAAATGAGCATTAAAATCATAATCAGCACGATTCATAACAAAAGACTGGCTGTTGTCACCGCTCCTGCTCGCCTATAGAGAGAACTACTGATCAGAACAAACCTGAAAGGCCTGATGTAGGCACAGTTAGCAAGTTTTGAAAGTTAGCTGACCTCCGTCTGACGCTGTTAGTGTCGTAGCTTCGTGTAGAGTAGCAGAGGTTGTAACTCAGTTAATATACTTTAAGGTTCTATTAAGCCACTAAAGCATTAGCGGTGATAAGTTGTTTTGCATTAAGTCTCACTAGATGCAAAGAGTAAGTTTCACATGAATTGTTATATTTTTGTGTTTTACCTTGTGACCACGGTAAAGGTTTAATACGTTGAGCCTGGCGCCGAATTTGCTGTCCTTTCTATTCAGCTGGCGGCAATATTGCCGACTTAAATTATACAAAAAGGAAGGAGACGCACATAAAGTCCGAAAGTATTGTTCGAAATGTTATGATAACAATTCAAAACTATTTGGATGCAAGATAGCCAAAAATGTTACCAAAATAGTTGTTTCGTATTGTAATATGCGTAAAGCTAAGCCGTATTTTTGTTTAGAATGTTTCAATAAATTTCATTAAAACTACATTTGATCACATTTAATTGAAACTATACTTATTTTTTAACTTTAATACTGTCGGCCAAACGAAAATTCCAGTGCCGGTTTCCAGGGACCGACACCGGGCTCAGCATGTTAATGAAAGATAATAACTTGCTTTAATATAGAGAGATAATTTTTAAGAGAATACATTTAGTTATAATTAAATTAGGTATTAGATAACCTTAGTCATGGATTTACATGGCTACTATTAAATTAACTTTATTTTTTAATAATATTTGTTAAAAAACCCTATTAATATCACAATCTCATAAAATTTCACAGTTTAAAATACAAGCAATTTATGACATTGATTTTTAAACAATATTAGGATAATTACACATTAAAACCTACAAAATATAAAACTCAACAAAATTTTTAATTTATTTTCTTACATTTTGGAGAACATGTAAGAACATGCAGTTTCTTACATGTTCTCCAAAATGTAAGAAACTGTGTGTTACTAGCATGGAGACATTTTTCATTTTATCAAATTTTTCTGGAATCTTTTAGAATCATGGTTCTATAAATTTGCCTTAAAATCTTTCCAAGCTTCAATGTTTAAAATCCTAAAGAAAAATTACCCCTGCCAATTCAGTAACAGCAAAAAGCCAGAAATGTTTAAAAAAAAAATCGGAGGGAAAAAGTGTGAAATTAATTTTATAGAGGATAACTTATGCATTTTCTGAGAATTCTGATCATTCTGAGAAATGGGAAAAATTCTTACCATGAAAAAAATTAAAGACATTTTGAATTAATTACATAGCTATTTTGCTTTTGCTAAACTGTTTTGTAAACTGTGCTAAATACGTAGCATTATTCCTTGCTTATTTTTCAGATTCAAAAAATTGTATAATATGTGGCCAAAATGGAACTATAAAATGTGTAATTAAAATAAAAATGCTTTATTTTAATGTTATTTCTTAAATATAATTCCAATATTTACCATTATTATAATGACATTTATTAATGTTAGAATGTTCTAAAAAATCGTCAAAAAATTCCCAGATCTCGGAATTAAAAATTTTCTATAGAAACCGATCTTAAAATCGCCAAAATGTTGATAATCGCCAAATTTAGAACCGTTTAATAAAAGAATTCACATCCCCAAAAGCGGAAAGTTGTTTGAGAGCTCTTCATTACAAAAAATGAAATAATTTTGAAATGCTTATGTTTCACTTCTTGCTCAGAAACTCGAGTATCCCACCATTCTTTATATTACAAATAGGAACAAATTACAACTCATGAACCCATTAAAAAAAAATAGCCATATTTGTCAGTGAATCGCCAAAAATATTTCTGCAAAATGCTAATTCACACCCAAAATGGCAGTCCTAAAAACAGACAGAAATTTCAGTTGATTAAAATTAAGGACCTTCTGCCAATTTTGGCCAAAATTAAGGACTTTTAAGGACCAAAAATCAATTAAAAAAAACTTAAGGACCGTACGAACCCTGGTTAAAGCATTATTAATATGTGAATGAAACAAGTGTTGCTAATTCAGCTTTTATCAGCTCAACAATGATACATTCCACAACCCACAGATATATCATCATTCATTAAGTACAAGGTGTCTGAAATGAAACTATCATGCTACAAGATTAGAACCATCATTTACTTCCAGTTCTGTTGCAAAAGGTCAGTTACAGAACGTCACCAAATCTTGTGTACAGTTTTAGGTACTAATGTTGTATTATATGACACTGTGAAGGTTTGGTATCGAATGTTCAAAAACAAGGACAATGATATTCAAGAAACGCTCTGGCCACTTTACTGATTTTGATGAGGCCTGCCTGTGAGAACTTTTGGAAGATCAGTACGGATCCACTCGAGAGCTTGCTAAGTTAGACCATGCCCATTAGTCTCGCTATGCATCGCATAAATTTGACGTACAAGTTCAACTGCTGGGTGCTGCTTGAGCTGACTCAAGAAGATATGGACAGATGTATTCAGGCCTGCACTAATCTGCTTGAATATCAATGCAAGGACAAAATCATCATTTTGGACCAGATCATCATTTGTGATGAAAAGTAGATTTATTTCAACAACACAGGTTCAAAAGGGGTTGGTCTGTGCCGGTGAGCCCGATGGCAGCGTCGCAAAGTGCAATTAGACTTAAAAAATATCATGCTTTGTATCTGGTTGGATGGCTGTGGTATTATCCACAAAGAGCATCTGGGAAAAGGTAAAACTCTCGACAGTAGGATGTACAGTGAGATGCTGCAAGATCACATGTGTGCATTCACCGGCTGAACTCTGTACGGACTTGAAAGGGATCTTTAGCCACATCCACCATTAAGCCCCAACATCGCTCCTTCGGACTACCTTTTTCACACCTGCAGTTACATCTTTCTGGTGCTATCTTCCATTCTGCACAGGACGACCAAAATGAGGTTGATCTTTTTTTGAAGTTGCGACCACCAAGTTTCTGGGCCGAAGGCTTTAAAAAACTATCAAAACTTTCGTAGAAAATCATAGATTTGGGTGGTGATTACTACTCACACTAAAGGTACTGTTTTTGTGTTTCCCCCCCCAAACTTTATTAAGAATGTTTTTTGGTGGAAAACTTTCGTTACAATCAGATATTACTTTCTGAAATGTTGTATGCTTATTGAAGTGTTGAGGAGATTCAAATAGCAAGAAGTATTTTTATTCCAAATTGTGTTTCCACACATTAATTTATGAAAACTGAGGAAAAGTGTTTTACTTCTGAACATTCAGTTGGTAGTTTAGGAGTAATATATGTAGATGCAGATAGGGCCCGACTAATAGAATCAATTGAGTACTTATGGGTAAGTATTGATAGTAATCAGAAAAGCTATAAAGTTTCAGATAAGTGCATACAGAAAGTTGCTATTCAACACCACACAACAAAGGCACAGAAAAATGCAATAAAGTGAAACCAAAAATAACTGAAGCTTCTCAGTTATGAAAACATACTGAAAGTTAAAGAAATATACCAAAACAAAGTATGTAAAACTGACTATATATTACAGCTGAAAGATTAAGCAACTTTATGAAAATTGAAAAGTATGTTATATTACACATTATTCAAGTTGTATTTATTATATTACAATAAAAAGTTTAATTTAAGTGACTTGTATATTATACAGTACAAAGTCTGTAATCCGGACGTCCATTATCCAGACCTCAAAGCCACAAACTTTTGTTTTTGTATGCTTTACGCATGCGTGTAATGCGTTTAATGTATAACGGACGGTATAAGCTACGCTAAAATTATCTTTACTGATTCTAAGGCATTTCAGTTAATATTGCAGATTGCGCTGGTCCTTAATCTTCTAATTGGATCCAGCTTATTATTTGTTGCAGACTTAGAGCAATTTTTTTATAAAAATTAAGCTTGAACTTTCAATTATGACAAAAAGAGTTTCCAATTCTGGAGCTGCCAAAAGATCTACAAAGCGAAAGCATGTTTCAATGTACCCTTCCGATAGTGAAGAAAGTGACAAAGAGGTTATTGAAAACAAAAAAATTTCGATTGACAAGTTAGTCGGTATTCTTGACACAGCAATTACAGGACTTGAACAGTGGAACTTTATAATTGAACAAGAAATTATGTCTGTTTATAGAATTAAAGAGAAAGTATTAGCACAAAAAATGAAGCAACTTAAACAACTTACATTGAAAGAAATATTTAATAAAGTTAAACAAACAAATATTAAGCCTTTTTTTTTGGTAAATTTTGATACCCTTTATATCATAATTGCTCTTTATTTCATACATTACGGTTTCATATTTTTAATTGTATAATTTCTGCATGCCATCTTACCAGATTTAAATTGATGATCTATAATGCGGAAAAAACCCTAATCTGGAATCGGCGAAGTCCCGTCGAGTCCGGGGTTATGGACTTTGTACTGTATATGGTTGGCAAGAAAATAATTTCAGTTGGCACAAATAAATAGTGCTATGTTCATTTTATTATTCTCCTGTCAATCTTTATATATATATATATTCTTTCGAGACTAGTAGCTGACACTTTTAGGTTGCTACAAAAATAACATCCATGTAGTTTTGTTTACAACGTTAGTTTATTGCCAATTTTAACACGGGGTGCAAAGATGATAAACATTTTTGACATATTTTACTATTTTATTTTCACAAAGGCAAGAAAAGGAGCTGAGTACCACAAAGAGATATGTGAAATTTATGGTGTTGATTGCTTAACAAAATGCATGCATCAGAATTGATTAAAAAAAAATTTCATTCTGGAGATCTTTATATTTTATCATCTTTAAATAATTTTCATTTTTTAGAGTACAATCAAAATGTAAATATCAGTAGAATTAAGCCTTTTATAAGCCCTTCTGTTTCAATTTCAGTTTGTTCATTTATGCTTCACTTAATAATTAATGTTTATTACATTATCACAGTGGTCTCAAAATAAACGCAGGCCAAATGCATGATCTGAAAGTAATAGATGTTCCACAAGGGGGGGTGGAAATAAATAAATAAATAAAGACCCTTCTCTCCAAAAGTTTCTTTTGTTAACAAAATAAAATTTCTTAACTGAATTAAAAAATTTTACTATATATTTTTCAAATCATATAATATATATATATATAAAGCAAAAATATTCAAATTTATACTTATTTTCTACCTGAAACAGTCAAATACCGAAAATTCGCCAACTCCTGAAATCCGCATTGCCTCTCAAAATATAAACATTCAGTTCATATGTTCCGGAAATCGCAACGTGGAGTACGAAATATTGAAGAAAAAATACTTATTGAATAATGAAGTCATAATTACCGAATAATAATGAGTTATAACGGAAATACCAAATTATTGACATGATAAAAGTTTTTTTCCCATCCAATCTGCATTGAGGTAAAAAAGTAAACTATTCACGTTGTATTTTCTGAGCCTTGTTATTTCCCAAGATTGTTTAGTGGTGCTGTTTTTTTTTAATCCAGATATTTTGTGGATAAATTAAGAATATTTTAAATTTCAGCACTTTTTAATATAATGACAGATAAGAAACACACTCATGATCTTTCTGCTTGCAACATTGAAAAATGTAAACACATTTCATTGACGGTAATGCAAAAAGTGGAAATTCTGCAAAAGATGGAAGCAGGTGCTACTCCTCAGTTTACAGCAGAATCGTATGGAATTGCGACACAAACTGTGTATGATATACTGAAAAATAAAGAAAAAGCTGTTGAAATTTTACAGCAACAGTGATTCTAACAACGTAATCCAAAATTGGAAATCTTTGTATGAAGCGAAATCGGCAAACCTCAATACTGTGTACATATAATACAATAAATAATATAATTAATTTATATATGTAATAATAATTTAACACATATAATAAATTATTGCAATAATGTATATAGTAATTTAATTAAATGTAACTTATACGCCTTATTTGTTTTACACTTTGAATTTGAATACTATGATTTATCTTTTCTGTCCTGAAATCCGCAAAATCCTAAAATCTGCACAATTTCTGGTCCCAAGCTCTGTGGATTTCTGGACTTTTATTGTATTACATTTCATTACAATGCTGGCTGGTGTTTACTAACAAATTCTTTGAGGATATTTCAGAAAATTTCAGATATTTCTCTTCTTCTGAAAGTTCTTTTGTAGTGGAAGAACCTATTACCAAATCTTTATCTTTCTTCTGATTTTCTATTTCATCATAAATCAAATCATATATATAATTACAAAACAAAACACAGACTGGTTTTACAAACTTTGATAAAATGTCTTTAAACAGATCATAAATCATTGATTGCAAAACATGAATTAATGGAATTCTACTTTGTAGAACTGTGTTAAGAACATCAAATGATGGCAAAATGAATTGTAAAAAAAAGCAAAAAGCTTTGTTAAGGTCCGAAGAAAAAAAACATAAATATTCGTTCTTTACAAGATAAACTTACAGTAATTGGAAAATGTTTTGTGAGTTGAGCAATTTTTTTATTTTGAGAGAAACTTGTATCAGCTTTATGCTTATATTTTGCAGCATTATTTTGAGAATCGCCAGTTGAATTGCTGAACGGTGCAGAAATTTCTGTATTTTTCTCAAACCTATTTTTAACAATGGAAGTAGTAACTACATCTCCATTTACTTTAGGTATTTTATAACTTTCAATAGAGCCTTTTATCTTAACTCTCGAAGCATTTACTACTTCTTTAAAAAATGCAAGAAGTGGGTTCCATTGATTGAGGATTCTAGATAAGCATTTCTTTAAAGACAGCCAGCGTGTACACACATGTTTAAAAAATTTTCTCATTTCAGTATTATGCAGCTGTTGGAACTGTTTCAATTTTCCTTTCTTTTAGAACTCCTTTCAAGATAATAATAAATATCAACAATGTGTTCATCCACATTTATTGGTAAAGAAGCTGTCCCCTTTTCAGCTGCTAACTTTAAGAGGTGACAGGTAAACCTTATAATCTGCAAATCTGAATTTTCCTTTCTTAAGATGCCTGCAACATCAGTCTTCAAGCCTACCATTACTGGTGTATTATCGGCACCAAGTGCTAAGCAATTATCCAGAGGGATTGCAATTTCTTTTAAAGTTTTAATAATTAGCTGTGCTGTATTAAAGCCTGTCAAATGTTTTTCTAAAGTGGGGACAGAAAGTAAATTGCACTGAATTTCTGAAGACTCTGGATTAAGAAAAGAAACAACAATTGGATACAGTTTTGAATCGGTATTATTGCTTCCATTTGTAGAGAGGCAGAACGGAGCTGTTTTACTGCGATCAATAACTGAAGATTTATTTTTCAAACTCATTTCTTTAACAATTGCACCTGTTTTGGTCCTTGCACTTGAGTATTTCTTAGCGATTTCACTATTGGGAAACACTTTTCTAAATAAAGCTGCAGTGTGATCCGATGCATTCAGTGGCAAGTTGTGCTCCAGTAAAAAGGCAGAGAACAGACATTCTGCATTAATAATTTTTTAATCCTTTGTTTCCGAAGAAAAATAATTTTTTTTTTTTTTTTTTCAAAACAACTGATGTTGTCCTTGTGTTTTTGTGTACGCATATGTTTGAGAACATCTGCCCTTCCACCATGCAAAATCGAAAAATCGCAACGACGGACGGTACACATCGCAAATTTATTACATTTCCTTGAGGAAATAATGGAAGGAAAGTCAACTGTGTACGATTTTTGAAAGGTGCACGAGTATTTCACCTTCCTTGCATACATGACAAAAGATGATAATTTCTAAAACTATCCCCGAAGGCACGTGTACTCACACAACTCAGGACAAGATGAACAAAATAACTAAAGAACAGCCTTGAGCTTGCTTTGCACTCATTGGCTAATATATGCCAGATGACATGCAGTGGAGCTCGATGCCCATTGGAGAACAGGAGAACGACGTTTCTGGATACGTATGCTCTCATTCACAAAGCAGAAATTCTCATCTGATTCGCAAGGTTTTGTTTTAGATATAATCTAGAGAAAATTCAATTGCTTTCAGACGTCCAAAATCATTTTTTTAAAATTTATATAACAAAGTATTAAGCCAAGTCATGAGATCATAAAAATCATGAGAAATTTTAAGAATAAGAAAAATTTGGGAGAAATATATTGTAAATCAGGTTGTCGGGAGAGCGGTCGAAAATCGGGAGAGTTGACAACTCTGACTTTATTATCAAATAGTACAAGGTATGTAATTTACTGGTATTCAGGTAGGAGGTGAAAGAATGCCTCCAATAGGAATTTAACATACAATACAAAAGAAAAATAAACTTGGGCATGTTACTAATATGAATAACATATTGCAAATACTAATGAATGAAATCAGCTTTTAGAATGATTTAATCTAATAATGCAGGATTTTACTAAAGTTAAGCAGTTTTTCTAATCACTAGAATAAACTTAAATTAGTCAGCAAAATGTTATACTTGTCTTACCAAACAAATGTTAGAGTCAAAACTCATCTGTAAATATTTCCAATCAAATTCCACACTTCGAGCTCCAACCCACAGAGGTACCAGACGAGTCATTAACAGTTCTGCTGATGCCCATCCTAATCCAGCGACCAAAAATTTTGTTTCGCCTTTCCCAGCAAATTTTGTCATAACTACATGAAGGCCTATCAAATCTGCAACATCTACTGTATTTTTCAAGAACTCCTACAAGAAAAAAAAAAAAAAAAAAAAAAAAAGCATCATATGCAATGTTCATTTCAAAAATAACATTTTTGTTTGCATATACAGTACAAAGTCCAAGATACAGAATAATCTTTACTTTGGGAATTCCAGAGATGACTTTTAGACATGGTAATATTGGGGATTCTTTTTATTGTTTAGGTCAGAAGGAAGAAAGTTAAACCCCCTAATAGGGCAGGTATGGTTGCTCCAGGTAGCAGAATTTAGGGATGGCAAAATTTTTAGAATTTAATAGGCACTGGGAGCAGAACATAAGGGTGACAAATTTTTAAAATTAAGGAGGTACAGACAGCAGAATTTAGAACCCACAGAAATTGCATCAAGCAGCAAAATGCATAGTGCTGGCCTAGCCCCCCCCCCAACTACTCAAGGGCCAAAAGTGTGATCCTGACCAAAATAAATATAAAAAGTCAATAAATGTACTGTTATTGGCTATAATACCACTCTCGAGACCGCAGTTGTTCGAAAGTGAAATGCAAGCATCTTAGTTAGTGGGAGAAATATACCATTTATGATACATCTACTTCCTTTTGTTGAGTATTAAATTCTCTATTCCCAGAGTTTGAAAAGGAGATAGTATATTTTTAATCATTTTATTTAGTTAGTTTTTGGTTTGTAATCCAGAGATCCCAAAAACTAAATCGTTCTGGATATCGGATGTCTGGATTTCAGAATTTGTACTGTATTATGATAATTAAACTGAAACAATTTATAGCTTCATTAATTACAATTTTGCAAGTTTACATAACATTTTTAAGAACTATTTGCACCAATTCTGTAGTTTTCTTTTAAATGTTGCAATACAATGCAACTGTTTACGAAAATTCTATTTCATGAGCTTTCTTTGTAACCTGTATAATTTAAAAAAATTGTCAGTAGTTTTAGACATAATATCATTTGTAGAAGAAAAGATTAAACACATCCTCATAAAATTTGGCAGTAATTCACACACAAACATGTATATGTAGACATAACTTATGTTATTTTAAATAAATTCTATTTCACATTAAGAGCAGTGGCGTAAATAAGGGTATGCAAGGAATGCCGTCGCATAGGAGCCCGAAGGCTTAGGGAGCCCTTAAATGTCCTGCTGAACTACATTTACACGTTTAAACTTAACAGAGGCAACATTGGCGCTAGAGAATTATTTAACTTTAATAATTAATTTTTAATGAAACATTATTATAATATATATAAAAAGCTGCAGATAGTTGAAATAGAAGAATACTGAAAACAGAAACTCGCAGAAATGGGTGAACTGAATAATTTTTTTTTTTTTAAATTCATCGTTGACACAAATTTTTAACCAAGCCAACATAAGTAATATGGATGTTACAGCAGCCTGTTCAAAAAGAATTTTTACGTTCGTACCAACAATCTTGTAATATATGCATTTTGAAGCCAGCAGCAGCAATTCAGTAGATGCAAAGCAGAAGCCAAATGTGATGCATTCAGAAGAGAGCATGGGAGAGAGTTAAAAGTTTTGGTTCTGAATAGAAATCTTTAATCCGATCAAATAAGTCTATTTGTATTACTGTGTTATGTAACTTATGATGCATATTAATTTTGAAATGACACACATTATATTGATGTATTATGAATAGCTACTACTCGTATTTTTAGGGCAGAAAGGGGAAATGTCCAAATTACAATGAAAAATATAAGAAGAATATTTTCAGTTTAAATAGAAGTAGTTTGCTTTACATATTTTTCAAAATTATATTTCTATTATTCTGCTTCTCTACTGCTTTTTCTCTCAAATAGACTTTACTTCTACTAAGCCTTTTTTGCCCCTCTTTGAAGGGGTGGATATGTAAGCTAAAATAAAGGATATCTTGAATTTCAATTGGCAATAGTCCGCTAATATGTTGATGAACATAAAATTCGTTTCTTACCTGGAGCTGAAAGGAAAAAACCATATATTTATAAGATCGCAGAATCTGAAACCTGGGGTACATAAACAGATTGAAGAATTAGAGAACTTGAGTCTTAATGAGCTCAAGTGAAGCTGAAATAGCATATCCAGTCATATATGTTGCCAAGACAGATGGAAGTATGCGCTTATGTATTGACTTCAGATTGCTGAACCAAGTAACCAAGCCTGCTGATTTTCTAATGGAGAGTATGACAAATTAGACATGTGAATATTATCACTTGTTTAGACGTTTTGAAAGGTTACTGAGAAATACATTTAGAAGAAGAAAGTCGTGTTTTAACATCATTTCCAATGCTCTTGGAAAGTAATGCCTTTTGGATTAAAAAATGCAGCTTCTACTTTTCAGCGAGTGATGAATGATGCCTTAAAGGAACATAGTGATTTTTGAAAAGCCTATATCAATAATATATTCACATCTCAAACATTTAGAGGCTGTGCTAACTACTTTAACCCCTTCGCGCCGGGTAGCGTAAACGTGCGCTTATCGCGGAGGCTGGCAGTGTCTTACGCAAGCGTCTGTCCAGGGCCGGGGGCTTTTTTGCTATTAAGCCTAAATCCATGAAATTTCCGAAGTATCAATGCATTGTTTAATAATGCTCTATAGAGTATTTAAATGGCTTATGCTTTATAGATATTTTTATATATACTTTAATTACCTTATTTCTTGTTTAAATGCATATTTTACACATTTTATTTTCATTACTCACCATTTTATTACTTTTAACATTATACATCTGAAAACTAAATATATTACTTAAAATTCTCTTTTCGTATGAAAAATTTGAAAACAGGGATCTATACACAGTCCTACGTTACATTCCTTGCACTCATAATAATGACATTGATGATGAGGACATTAATTAATTAAAGATTAATGATGATGAGGACATTTCGGACATCTGTATGCCTACGTACTCGGCATACAGATGTCTGAAATGTCCTCATCATCATTAGATTCGCCAGATTCTTTATGATCAGAATGTATCATAGTATCACTATCACTACTATCAGAATCTGTTTTAGAATCAATATCTGAAATATTTTACATCATTTCTGCTATTTCATGCTCTGTTAAACATTTTCGACGCTTTGACATTGCAACGGTAAAAACAGAACGAATTTACATCTAACAAGATCTAACTATTTTCTAAAAACTGAACTGCAAACCAAAATGCCCAACGCTTTAGCGAAAATAAAACTTCTCTACTTACAATAAACAACTACCACGTGCGAATTTAAAGAGACGTCATAAATCACGCCATTTGGAAACATTTATTTCCCCTTTTGTTTATATAATCAAAAACACGTGTATGTGAGTCATGCTTCTCTCATTTCGAGTAGAAGGTCTAATGTACATGTATCTGAAACCATATGGACATACAGTGCCATCTTGTGGCAGAAATTATAGTTTTTAAAACTTTCCAGGACACTGGCACAAATACATGACAATCGGAGCTGAACGGGAAAATGCTCTGGCACGCCTGCGTGTCGGCCAGGAAGTGAGTGTGTTCGTTGCTGGCATGTAGACGTGACAGTCGGCACGAAGGGGTTAAGTGATCTCTTACGGTGAACATAAAGAACTGTGTTTTTGCACGTATGGAGATAAGGTATTTAGGACATGTAATAGGAGCTGGACGACATCAACCTGATCCTGAAAAATTGTGAGCCATCAAAATTATAGAAAGTCCTAAAACGAAGACTGCTCTGAAGAGTGCATTAGGCTATCATCGTGATTACATAAAGAATTATGCAAAAATAGCTCACCCATTGACGGAGCTTACGAAAAAGAAAATTCCTGAGATAAATCCATGGACTGATGTTCAGAAATCAGCATTTCAATATCTAAACCGTCGACTGTGTGAAGCACCAAAACTTTACATGCCAGACCCGAAAAAACCTTACACCACACAACGTGATGCTAGTTCATATAGTGTTGGTGCTTGCTTGTCACAATGAGACAGCAAAGGCAATTTGCATCCTATCAACTTTGCCAGTCAAAAATTTTCGAAAACTCAGCAGAACTGGTCAACTATTGAAAGTGAGGCTTATGCCGTGGTCATTAAAAAAGTTCGAGTGTTGTGTGTTTGGATCGAATATTGAGCTGATCACAGATCATAATCCATTATTATATTTGCAAAAGTCGACAACTCATTCTGCCAAATTACAGATGGGCAATGGCACTTCAATGTTATTATATTCATATTTCTCATTGTCCTGGTGCGCAATTAAAAAATGCAGATAGTCTTTCAAGACTAGTTGGTGAATGAAATAGGTGTGAAGTAAGTATGAACTGGTATGTTTAAAACTTTGCTTTAATTATTTTTCTTTTGTTCCAGCATTGTACAAGAGCTACTTTGCATCTGCTTAAAAAAATTAGTGTTTTTCATCTAATGCTTTATTATGATATTGAGTATTGAAATAGTATTGCATATATGTTTTATTACAGAACTCCAATATGGTATCAAGGTGTCTATTTATTTGTTGTGAAATAAATGTTTATTGCACTTATTTCAAAGTATGTTATTATGTCATATATGCATCTCATATATTTTGAATTTATTTGGCTTTAAAAAAATGTAGTGAAATGTTATGTAAATATTGGTATTACATTTGTGAAAGAATCTATATATGTCATTTAAGTGCTTAAATGCTTATTTCAATGTGAGAAAATTCAAATATTTATAAATGTATTAATTATTAAATATTGTTTTATGAAGTATACAATTTAAGTTTGTGAACTCATTTGCTGGTTCAGTTTTCAGATTCTGCTTCATTTTGGCTTAGCACAAACTTACCGGGAAGGGGGTGTGCCATGTATCTCTCTGCGATCAGCCAATTAGCAGCTGCCTCCTATTGCGGCAAGAACCCAGTACATGAGAGAAACAAGAACCCAGTAACTGACAGCTTTCATATTGAATAACTACAGACCTTGCTTCCCCTCTTTGGACTATCTAGACTGTTCTTACTCTGCTCGCTTCTTGTTGGAAATAGTATAAAAAATGTAAATGTTCTGAAACAGTCACGATTAGTGTATTGACTTTTGTGGCTTCAAAATGTTCAACTAAAACTAAAGAAATGATTTAAATCTGCTAAAACTGAGTCTTGTTGCATTTACATGACTTCCAAGTTTATCCTTCAGTACAGATCATCTATATGTGCTTTAAAATCTATTTCCATCATTCTCAAATCAAAATCACATACATATACACATACAATACATTAAAACTTTTATAAAATACTTAAAAAAAGAATAAAAATACATTTTATCGTGAAATATCTCTATTGCTCTTTTAGGTAATTTTTTACAAAATATTCAAAAAATGTTAAGAAGCTATATTATTATTTTTCACAAAATATAAAAAAAGTGTAAAGAAGCTATACTGCTATTTTCGCAATAAGTTATGTAGCAGTATTTAAAGTAGAAAGCATACCGTTAATGTTTCCATTCGTCCCAAACCACTGATATCAGTTGCAGGAAAAAATGTAGCTAATATTAGCATTTTGCATAACTGTGTGAATAAATACATTGCTCCAGCTTGAACACATTTCCAAAAAACTCCATATTCAGACCTAGAGTCAAAAGTATTTTAGATTATTACTCATTTCTTATATTTATAAACCAAAGAATGTTTCAAGCACTATGAAACAGGACAGACAGTTCTGCAAGAAAAAATAATATAGTAGAGCTTTAATAAATCAAAACTAAAGGCAGCAAAAAGAAAATTTTGAATTTTTTAAAATTTGAATAAATGAAACTTTTGGCAAATTTGCACTTAGAAACACTTTGGATCCATACACATACAAATATCTTTAACAAAGCAAAAATGATGAAAATTCTTTCACTACATTTGAAATAATTATATGTAATCAAAGTAAAAAAACTTATAAGACACCATATTTACATTCGAAAACTGCTTTGCACTAAAATGTAACACTAAAATGAAATTATATGCCTCTTTTGGAGAATTTTAATGGCATTGTTTTCACACGAAAGTTAATAAAATATTCTCTTTGTATTTCGCATTCCCCCCCTTTCTATCAGCAGCAGACATACTACGTGAAAATATAAGTACTTTAGGTTGTATTTCTTTATTAACGCTTTATGGATGGGTACGTCATATATGAACCTCCATTTAAATTCACTATTAGAATGGGAGTGCAACACATGAATTTTTAGATAGAACACTTAATTAGCATTTTTTTTTTCTTCTGCCACCAGATATAGCCTTACATCTGTGATGGTGGAATTTATCCAGATTGGAGAATGCTGACCTTGACTCTGTTGCAGTATTTTTTATTTTGGAATCAAAGGGTGAGTTGAGTAATATAAAAAAACAGAGCTGGCTACTAACTGCTTCAGCTGATGTAAGCACATGGGGAAGTTCTCGATGTTTCTAAACACTTTTGTTTCTATTTTTGGCAATATGGAGATATAAGTCCTACTGTTTGAGGTTTTATTTATTCGCTTTGGAGTTTGACTAGCATTGAGGCAGGAATTTTCTGTATTGTTTAGTGACACATTTTTTTAAAACTTCTAATGGCAATGAATATACAATTTTCAAAGTAATTCTAATAACTACCTTTCATACTGTGCCAAAAATTAGAACAATCTGACCACAAATTTAATTTATGTAAATTATTTTCTAAAGTTAAGCTTAGCAATGGAAATTGCCCATTCTAATGCTGCATCCTGTCAGTGCATCATCCCGAGAGAGTGGTTCGGTCACTGAGGTACCCATCCCGAAATGATTAAAGCAGCCACTGCATATGCTTTATTAAAATTTGACGACACTAAAATATTGTCACGAAAAATTTGAAAAAAAGTAAACCAACCTTCAAAAAATAAAAAAATTCAATGTGAGTGTGTGTCTTATTTACCTCTGTAGAAGCTATAGTTCAATAATTTTAGTTGTTATAGAATCAAATATTTTTGTTCACCTACATACTACTGCTACATTAATTCTCCTATATAAAGTCAGTATTGGGCAGCCATTGTCTTTTGTTTTGCCCTTAGGCTACATCCCAGAATCATTTGGTTTTCTGTGCCAGATGTTGGATCTATAAAGTTGTACCTGTGATTCACTGTAAAATGTCGAAAATTATATTTTTCTAATTCCTCACTCTGACAAGCACACTGCCAATGTGAATATATTGTACTTTTTTCATGTATGCCTTCTTTTATTATCTCCATTAATGTTTTTGCACCTCTGTGCGATATCTGCACACTTAACATGCATTTGTTTCCCTGCAAATTTTCCTCCTAATCCACTGTTTTTGGGTCTTCTTCTGCTAGATGTATACATTTTCATCAATCTCAATAATGTTTTCAAGTGCAACAATTTTATCTTTTGAGTGTTTGTCAAAAATAAGCAACAAATATCTGTGATATAGTAGTTAATCAACTGCTGTGTTTTCACTCATATTTGTGTTATATACATTTCACCCATATTTGGGTATTGTCAATAGGCAATTGCCTATTGCACTATCTGATGGAAGTTAGTTCTTCGGCCCAACAACATATGAAGCACAACAAGGAAAGGAATCCTGTAATCATGACACCAATTATGAACTTTAAGACATTTTTTTATCTGTAACTTTTCACACTGCATCTCTAAATATTTTGTTTCCCACTTTTCATTCGGTGGTCATTTTTTCTCAGTACACAAAATTTGTGGCTCTTAGGGGGGAAAACACTATTTCTTTTCCAGTTGATGGGAAGTTAAAATATGGAAGAGAATTTCAGAAGGAAAAAATAACGAAGGATATAAAAGGATACTTGAGTGTTACTCCTGTCAACCATGAAAGTTGGTTACCACCTAACCATGAAAGTTAGTAGGGATAATATCACCCTTATGCCAACTATGCTTGCAGAATGAAGGAACTGATTCCTTCTTATTCAATAGACAATCAGTATTCAATTTGGGTAAAAATATACTTCAGGGTGCCCCTTGGTGAAAATTGGCGATCGGGCAGCAAGGCACAATTTCAAGGTGGCCACTACACAAAACCAAAATAACAAATCAAAGAATTGCACAAACTCGGTGTCCATGTACACATCGATCTATTTTCAGTTAAAAAAAAATCAAAGAATTGTACAAATTGGGCATTGCACACTTCCTCGACTTTGTCCATGTACACATTGATCTATTTTCACTTTAAAAAAAATCCGGAGAAAGATGACGTCACATAATGTTAAAACAAAGTTACTCATCATCAAAACTGAACAAAATTTGTAGCCCATGAAAGCTCAATAAACTGTATTTTAAATCACACAATGAAAAAACGTAAGAAAGGAAATACATGTTATCACATATATGTACTACAAAGAGGAAATATTGACTTACTATATTTAGAAATTTCTGTGTCTTCAGTCTGTGGCACACAAAATTCCTTAACAGCATCCAAAAACTTTCTAAAATTATCTGAACTAGAATATGCATACTGCTGTCACCACATAAATTCACAAAAAATAAGAGTAAAAGGTTACAGCCGAAAACATCGCGGCAAAAACATCGCAGACGAAAATGTCGCGGAGAAAACAACGCAAGGCGAAAACGTCGTGCTACAAAACATCATGGGAGAAAACATCGCAAAGAGAAAACATCGCAGTTCTAAAACATCGTGGTACAAAACATCGTCGTCGAAAATAAAGCGGTTAAAAAACATCGCAGTTTAAAAACATCGTCGTTGAAAATATCGTGGTAAAAAATAAAGTATCTACAAATCATCGCATGACGATAACATCGCAGACATGCTTTTTTAAAGGCATGCTTTAATAAGTGTAAATGGATATTCCCATAATGATTTGTGAGAGTAAGATGGAAAGAAGGATAATTTTTACTTTCATATTTTATAATTAATTAAATTTTTGCTGAGAAAATAAAAAGGAACTTAAGCATAAAAAATTAATGCAACTTATAGCACTTAATATAATTTTAAACGACATAGTTAACTAACAAAGGCCATTAAATAAATCATTTTTATAAAGTTTTTTACTGGTAATATTTCATGAAAAGTATAATCTATAAGTTACATTTAATTTTCTATGCTTAAGTTTCCTTCTTACGTTTTCAGCAAAAATTTTATTAGTTAATAAAATATGTGAAAGTAAAAATTTATCCTTCTTTATACCTTGCGCTCATGAATCATTGTGGGAATATCCATTTACAATTATTAAAACCTGAAAAAAGCATGTCTGCGATGTTATCGTCATGCGATGATTTGTAGACACTTTATTTTTTACCACGATATTTTCGACGACGATGTTTTTAAACTGCGATGTTTTTGAACCGCTTTATTTTCTACGACGATGTTTTGTACCACAATGTTTTAGAACTGCGATGTTTTCTCCCACGATGTTTTGTAGCACGACGTTTTCGCCTTGCGTTGTTTTCTCCGCGACGTTTTCGTCCACGATGTTTTTGCCGCGATGTTATCGGCGGACACCGAGTAAAAATATCCTCCATATTGCTGGACTGTTGATGGCATTTCTCCCATGAACCTTTCTTTATGTTCGTTCATACACATTTCCTTCATATAAACAGGACACTTATAATGGCTACCAAGTAAACCTTTATTTACACACCAGATAATTAATGCATTTTTGCCTTTTTGTTCTAAATCGTACAGAAACTTCAGATTAATCTCATCACATACAGCCATTTTACGGTGTACAGCACAAAATAAGCAATGTACTTCCTAACTAATTCCAATTCAGAAATAAGCCCTTACAAATATTTATTTTCCAATCAGTCAAATTCACTGCAACACACAACCAATTAGGTACAACTCTGATAAACGCCTTAATTTCACCAAATGTGGCGATATGTGTTTTGCGCTGGTTTTTGGCGCGATTGCATGTTGTATGGCAACCATGTCGACGTTGAAAAATCTTTTGGTGGAGTAGTTTAATTGCTAGTTGGTTCGTGTCACGCGTGTTTTTGAAATGGCCTATGTTGCGATGAAAGACATGGTGGGAAGGTTTCAGCCGCATATTTTAGATTGTGTGCAGAGTAAATTTAGTATGAAAAGGTACGATGTTGGAGTTGTTAACGAGTCTTTTGTTCACGGATGTATTTATGGGGATCATAGTGTATTTTTGGAATTTCTGTGGGAGTCGGGACTTTTAAAACAGTTTGACGTGTCCGAAATGCGGAGCTGATATGAGAACTCGGACGAAAAATGGTGTTTCTGATAGACTTGTGTGGGTTTCCAGTGAAATTGTTGCTAATAAAGTATGTGGGTGTCAGCGGAGTTTAGGTTTGGATCTTGGTTTTCGTGTAGCAAGTTAACGTTGGAGGAAGTTTTTATTGTTACTTTCGAAATTTTGAATCATAGGAAGGCATGTGATAGAAAAATCATGGAAGTTTTCTTCACAGACGTGTTGTGACTGGCGAAATTTTATTAACGAATGTATTTTGGACTTTGTATGCTCTGTATCTGAGAAGATAGGGGGGAAAGATATTTCTGCTTTTAAAAGAAGCTTTCATTATGGTAAGTGCATTTTATTTATTGTTTTTTTATTTTGTAGAATGTTATATTCATTGTTTTTGTATGAATTTCCGTTTTTA